TTGAGAAGGGCCAATTTCCTTTTGGAATGACAGTCAATCATTTTGTGGATAGGCCCCATTCACATAGTTCCAGTCATCCACATGGTCAGTCATCCACATTCAAATAATGCTGGAAAAGTCATATTGAGAGATAAACTCTATAATTATTATGGCATCTTTGTCCAAAGTAAGAAACTGACATTGACACAATAATATTAGGTAACTCTAGCATTTATCTGTATTTCACCAGTTTTTTGGTTTTTTTTTTTTTCACTGATGACCTTTTGCTATTCTAGAATCCAGTCCAGGACATTACACTGTATTTACTTCTCATCTCTTTCCAGTAGACAATGTAGATTTGAAAGAAATAATTAACGTAAAGTCCTTAGCAAACAGCCTGTGATACAACAAGCACTTATTAGACCCTATATATTAACAAACTAAGTTCCCTAGGTAGTATGAAGAGTTTTCATTGGATCACTAACATAAAGACTAACAAGTCAAGCCTACCTGATGGCATCTAGTAGAAGAAAGGCCTAATAATCTGCTTCTATGAAGAACACAATCAAGAAAATCCCATGAGCTATTATATTCCTGCAACACATAGAATACACATGAGCCTGAATTGACTTGAGAGCTATGGGCTTGGTTTTGGATTATTAAATTGTTATGAAGATTGTTGTAATAATGACTGACAATTTTTTTATATTCTTTTAAGAACCTTCTTGAACTTTAAGATACTACAGATTTAGGATAAAATAATAAAAAAAATTAGTGATAGTTTTTGTGATGAATGTCGCTTGGAAGAGAAAAAGAACAAAAGAGGTAGATAATGCTAAAAAACAACCCAGCACCGGGGGAAAACAACAAAACACAATCCTAAAAGTTCACATGCATACTTAATTGATGTGTAATGTAGTGATTGACAGAAAGTATAATGAACACAAGTGGCCATTAGTGAAGAATGTGCATTTTTAAGATTGTTTGATGATTCTTTTGAATTTAAAGATTTAAAAAACCCCATTATGTTTTTTGTTCTTTTCCTCATTCATGAGACATTTGTTGCAAAACATTCCTCCAAGCTACTAACATCTGAAAACCAAAAATCCAAAAAGGTCAGGGACTGACTATTGAACAGACCTTCATTTTTTCCTCCAAACTTAAACTGAATGTAAAGACAATGAACACAAATTCATGAAAGTCAAACTATGATCTGGAATTTATCCTGCCTGATTTTTTTTTAAATCTCAAGAATAGACTTGATGCATGGTGAATGGTCATAACCAGAGATCAGGTGAGTTATGGCATGACATCAGGGAGAGCATAAAGAAAACAAAAGGTCATTAAAAAGACAATCAAGAAAGACCAAAATGGATGTCAGAAAATATTCCGAAACTCGGTCTGCAATATAGATAAACTAAAGAAACAAAATTAAAAATCTGAACAGAAAATTTAAAAGAGTAGCTCGAGAAAACAAAGTATTATAATAAAAAATGCAAAGAAGTGGGGTTAGAAAACAAAAAGAGACGAACATGCTTAGAATTTCTTAAACTGAAAGAACTGAAGAGAAAAATCAAAACTTTGAGTTGTAATACTAAATGAATATTTGGGAAAAATACTGAATGATGTAGGAAACATTAAAAGAAGATGGAAGAAATAAATAGAGTCATTGTACCAAAAAGAATTGATGGTCACTGGCAGTAGTCTATGATCAAAAACAAATGTTACTTAAAAAACTCAAGTTACACTAAAGACATTGCCAAAAAAACAGAATTAAAAAAGCAAAATAATGAACAAAAACAAAATAAACTGGCCCTAGGAACTTAAGGAATACCAATCGAAGTGTTTCCTCAGATGTGATTTTCCAAATTGTCCTTTCTAGTAATTGGTTTTGACTTTTATCACATGGCTCAGTGATACTATGCTAATCATATGAATGACGTAAATAAAGCCTTTTGGGTAGAAATATATAAATAGTGTATATAGATGCTAACAAACAGTTCAGTCAGTTTTGCCATTCCTCCAGGCTTACAATAAGGTGTAAATGCAGAAAAGGTGAATCTCACTGCCAGTAAGAAAGAAGCAGCAGAGCATGCAGTACAAAAATTCATACACTAGACTTGCTGCGAAGGGTCAAGGACTGCAGCCTTCAGTATGGACTGAGGCTCAATGTCAAGAAGACAAAGATTCTCACCACTGGACCAATTGGCAGCGTCAGGATGGATGACGAAGAGATTGAGATTGTTCACAGCTTCAGTTTGCTCGGCTCCACAGTCAACACTTGGCACCAGCAGTCAGGAAATCAAAAAGCGTATCACGATGGGAAAGTCTGCTGTTAGGGACCTCTCTAAAGTACTCAGGAGCAACAGTGTCTCTCTGGAGACTAAGGTGCACCTGATACAGGCCATGGTCTTTGCAATTGCTTGTTATGCATCAGAGAGTTGGACAATGACTAGGGAGGACAGAAGGAGAGTGGATGCTTTTGAGCTGTGGTGCTGGAGAAGAGTACTGAATGTACCATGGACTGCCAGGAAAACAAACAGATTCATCTTGGAGAGGATTAAACCAAGCTACTCCTTGGAGGCAAGGATTCTGGGGCTTCGTCTGACATACTTTGGACATGTTGCCAGGAGGGACGGGTCTTTGGAGAGGGACATCATGCTTGGGAGGGTGGAGGGACGGCGCAGGAGGGGAAGACCCTCTATGAGATGGATTGATTCGGTGACTGGGGTAATCGGGATGGGTGTGTAAGAGGCAGTGCGGTTGGCGCAGGATAGAGCAGGGTTTAGGGATGTTGTGCATAGGGTCGCTATGACTCACAAACGACTCGACAGCACATAACAACAACAACAACAGACAGACTGAGACTGAGACCAGAGTAGGAATAGCTGCAGCAGAAGTATTGGAAAACTAGAGACAGAAATTAAATGGTTGAACTGAGATTCCATCCCAAGGAGCCAGGACCTACTTTGCTGTGGGACTTTGGAAAAGGGGTTGAGAGGGTATAGGATGGTGCTATAATCAATAGGACAAAACAGATGCAGCCCTGGACATGCTTACTAACCTATGCCAAAAAATATGAAAGATATTTGTATACACAACTGGCTGCAAGAGATCCATATTTGTTCTCATTCCCCCAAAAGGTCCAACAGAATGTGGGGAGCTCTGGTGGCCTAATGGCAATAAGCTGCACTGCAATCCCAGAGGAACACGGTTCGAATCCACCAGATGCTCTGCCGGAGAAGGAGGCGCAATATCCTCCTGTACCAGTCAGATCTGATTTGATGGTACACGCACACAAAATAATAAAAAAAAAAGTTTATAAATATTTTATAATCTTCAGCAAGTAAAATACTGCTGAAGATTACTTTTAAAAGCACTGAAACAGTATATCATCAGAGAACTGTCAGAAATTCAAGTTGGATTCAGAAGAGTCTGTGTAAATGATTAAGGAAGTGTATTGTTGACATTGAGAAGGAATGCAATGAGATAGTAGAAGAAAAAGTGATGCCTTGGAGGCCAAACCAAGAGAAGCTTAAGAGTTTAAGAAGGAATGAGTGAGCAATTGTGCCAAAATGTTGTTGATGTTGTTAGAGAAAATGTATCCAACTCAAAGTACCCCTCTGTACAACAGAACAAACACTGCCAAGCTCTGTACTATTAATAACTGCTGTGCTTATGCATATTGTTGCACCCACTGTTCCAATCCATCTCACTGAGGACCTTCCTTTTTGCTGCTCTGTTCTACCAAATATAATGTCCTTTTCCAGGGATTTGCACTTCCTGTGAACATACTCAAAGTATGTGAGACTAAGTCACCTCATCTCACCTCCAAGGAGCCTTCTGGCTGCAGTTCTTCCATGACGCGTCAGTTTGAGGACTAAGGTGCATCTGATTCCAATTGCTAGCTGTGCATCCGAGGCCTGGACAATGACTAAGGATGACAGAAAAAGAATTTATGCCTTTGAGCTGTGGTGTTGGAGAAGAGCACTGAATATCCCATGGATGGCCAATAAAACAAATAGATATGTTTTGGAGAGGGTGCAGCCAACGTGCTCTTTGGAGGCAAGAACGATGATGCTTTGCCTCATATACTTTGGACATATTGATAGGAGTTGCTATTCCTTGGAGAGGGACATGATGTTGGGAATGGTGGAGGGTTATTGAAGGAGAGGAAACCCTCAACCAGGTGGATTAACAAGGTGACTGCTGCAGTGGGCTCTTGTGTGTCTGGGAGTGTGAGGATGGTGCAGGACAGGACGGGTTTCAGATCTTTTGTTCATAGGGTCGCTATGAGTTGTACTCTACTTGATGGCACCTAACAACAACAACAACAACAACATGATGTATCCAACATTTTTTGTCAACATTACAATTTAAAGGCATCAGTTCTTTAGCCTTTTTTATTCATTGTCTAGCTTTCATATGCATATGAAATTATTGAAAAAACCTTCATCAGGTACACTTTAGTTCTCAAAGTCACATCCTTGCTCTTTAGCATTTTAAATGAGGTCCTTGCAGCAGTTTTACTCAATGCAGTATGTCATCTGCTTTCTTAACTACTGTTTCCATGGACATTGGTTGTGTCTTTAAGAAAAAGGGATTTTTTAAAAAAAAATTTTTTTAAAAATGTAATCTTTGACAACTTTTCTTCATTCATCATGATGTTACCTATTGGTCAAGTTATGACAGTTCTGCTTTCTTTTGGATAAGGTGTAATCCACACTTATATTCTTTGTTCTTCATCCATACATGCTCCAACTCTTCTTCATTTCAGCAAGCACAGGTGTGTCATCTGTGTATTGATGATTGTTATTGAGTCTTTCTCCAATTTTGAAGTCACATTCTTTTTTATGTAGTCCAGTTTCTCAGGCTATTTGCTCAGGGTACAGATTCTTGGTATTCTGCTGGTTTACCACACTGTTTTCTGCCTGGTTTGGGGAAGTATTATAATCTTATAAGAACTGCTAGAATAGTTTAAGAAATTACTTCTAATATTACTTTTATTCTGAAGCTCTGCTGCAGGGCACAGGGCACTGGGAGTTTGGGCATTACATCTGAAGGAAACCCTGGAGAAGTACCGGAAGTCCATCAGCGTAAGCAGTTTTGTCACTGGCCCTGTAAATGTCCTTATCAGAAGCCCAGATGTCCTCCTGGAGTGAGTTTGGTGAGGGATGGCTGTGGATGCTGTAAAATATGTGCCAAGCAACCAGGGGACATCTGCAATGAAGCTGATCTCTGCGACCCACACAAAGGGCTGTACTGTGACTATTCTGCAGACAGGCCTAGGTACGAGTTTGGAGTCTGTGCATGTAAGTATATTCTTTTGGATCTGTTGGTAAAGTTACATCTAGACAATTTTTCCCCACCTCAACTCTCACAATTGCTAATTTGGAATGATCACCCCCTCTTGTTATATGCCTTTGACTATGTACTGTGACTCATAGCAGCTCTATGAACCTTGCCCTATCATGTGCAATTTTCACCATTTCTGATATATTGTTGTTGGTATGTGCTGTCAAAATGACTAATAGTGACCCTATGAGCAATGGATCTGAACCCTCTCCAATACTGTGCCATCCTCACAATCTCTGACATCCTCAAACCCATTGCTGCAGTCACTGTGTCTATCCACCTGGTTGAAGGCTTCCTACACTTGATTCTATTATTACAGTCACCATGTCAGTCCATAATTTTGTTGTATATCAATCTGTCTTGTTAAGGGTCTTCCTCTATTTTATGAACCCACCACCTTTCAAACAAGCATTATGCTCTTCTGCAAGGTTTGATCCATTTTAACAACATGTCCAAAGTGTGTTAGCCAGAGAGTTTCACCATCCTTGCCTCTAAGGAGCACCCAGGTCACACTTCCTCCAGGACGGACCAGTTTGTTCTTTTGTCAGTCCTTTGCATGGTCAGTACTCCTCTTCAACACCACAACTCAAAGACATTGAGACTTCTGTCATCTTAATCACTGTCCAAATTTCAGATACATAGCAAGTAATTGGGGGAGAAAGCATGGCTTGGATTAGTTAAAGACACCTAAGTCTTTAAACTGACATCAAGTATAACTTGGGTTTACAGCTTTCATAGGATACTTTCCATAATGTTGCACACCATATGAAATTAGCTATTACCACACGTTCAGAAACTTCTATCATTTCTACTGTATTTTAAGGGATTTTGAAGTTTTTCATAGGCAATTGATTTTAATGCTAGGGAATGGGAAAGTGCTTAAAAGTGAGGTTTTGTTACCACTGTGAAAATCAATCTGAATTTAGTTCTTTTCGTAAATGTGAACTAATTTTTCTCCAAATTTTAGTATGATAACTTAGTATTCAGATATACCATTTTCATCTCAGTGTTCTCAACTAACTATTGAGTTGCTGTATTTTTTGCTATAATAATTTTGTGAAAAAAGAGACGGGTGGCCTCAAAATCACTAAACCGTTCGTTTTATGAGTAAACTCTGGAGAGTGATTCGGATCATTTATGCCAACAGCACTAATAATATAATGACAGTAATAATTCAAGGTGCCATCATGTTATTGATTGTTGGTTTAGAGTGGGCTCCACTTCACAGCAACCCTGTGTGAGACCGAATGAGACCCTGCCTGGTGCAATGCCTTGCTCATACTCTCTGTTTTGGTTAAGCCCATTGTTGCAATCTTTGTGGTAGTCTATCTCATTGAGAGCCTCCCTCTCTTTTACTGACCTCTTCACTTTTGCAGTCATGATGTCCTTCTTTAGGGTCTGGCTCCTGCTGACAACATGCCTGAAGAATATGAGGTGAAGTCTCACCACCCTTGCGTCTAAGATGTGCTCTAATTCTACTTCTTCTAAGACAGATTATGATTTTTTTTTTTCAAACTTCAGAAGAATTGTGCTACTAATGCAGAGGTTCATGGTTCAAATCCACCACCTGCTCCATGGGAGCCGGATGATCATTCAATGCCCCTGTGATTCACTGCCTCTGAAAACTGCTGGAGGGTCAGCTATGGATCGGTTCCAGCTCAATACACAACAACAAGGGTAGGGAGATATTCATGCAGTGGGCAGTGTAGCCATTCAGTAGCAAAGTCTAAGCTTGCTTGTGAGCATGGACTGACAGCACATCTTTTAAGTCTGACTGATTGTGTACTACAGAGTTGGAACCAATCCAGATAGGAGGTTATAAATGCAGCCTAACTTAATATTATATATACACAATATGACACAAGTTTGCTTGCTGAAAGTGAAGAGGACTTGAAACATATATTGATGAAAATAAAAGACTAAAGCACTCAGTATGGATTATACTGCAATATAAAACAATACTTTCATAACTGGCCAAATAAGCAACGTTCTAATAATAAACTGAGAAAGTATTGAAGTTGTCAACTGTTTCATTTTATTCGGACTGAAGATGTCTTTTTGAGGAACAATGTATATCTGATGCAAGCCAGAGAAAATAATTGAATTTTATGCAAGTTAAAGCTAAAGAACACTGAAGAAGTAATAGATTTGAATTTTGCTGTTGAACAATGCTAAAATATACCTTGGACTACCAGAAGAACAATGAACCTTGTTAGATAAACTGTGGATTATCAATGAGCATATCTGTCTTGGAATAAGTTCAACCAGAATGCATCTTAGAAGTGAGGATGATATTTATTTCTTGCACTTTGGACATACAATGAGGAGGGACCAATTTCTGGAGAAGGGCATCACCCTTGCTAGTTGTTGTTATGTGCCTTCAAGTTGCTTGCGATGCCCTATTCTATCCTGAGCCAACCTTGTTGCCTCTGACACACCTACCCCCTTTATCTCAGTCACTGAGTCAATCCATCTCTTCCAGGGACTTCCTCTTTTGTGCTGTCCCTCCACCCTCCCAAGCATGACATCCCTCTCCAAGGACTGGTCCCTTCTTGCAATATGTCCAAAGTATGTCAGATAGAGCTTCAAAATCCTTTCCTCCAAGGAGCAGCCTTGTTTCACCCTCTCCAGGATGAACTTGTTTGTTCACCTTGCAGTCCATAGTATATTCAATACTCCAGCACCACAGCTCAAAGACATCAATTCTCCTTCTATCATCTCTAGTCATTGTCCAACTTTCTGATGCATAGCAAGTAACTGTGAAGACTATGGCCTGGATCAGGCATAAGTTAATTTTCAGACTCACATCATTGCTCTTCAGTACTCTGGATAGGTCCCTGACAGCAGACTTTCCCAAGGCAATTCATGTTTTGATTTCCCGGCAGCTGGTACCTAGAGTGTTGATTGTGGAGCCAAGGAAACTGAAGCTGTTAGAGGGTCAAAAAAAAAGAGAGAAATCCCCTCAACTACATGAATTGCCACAGTGGCAAGAACAACAGATGGAAACATAGCAGAATTTGTGAGGATGGCAAAGAACCAGGAAATTTTGTTCTGTTGTGTATACGGTTGCTATGAGTTGGAAACAACTCAATAACATTTAATAATGACATCAGTTTCTTTGGCAACACCAAGGAGTTGCCTATTATCTCTAAGAATTCCAATTGGAAATCTAAACTATCACAAATTTTGACTCCTTAGTGATTTTGCTTTTCTCTTTTCAGATCTTGTAGCTGTTGGGTGTGAACTCAACAGGGTGCATTATCACAATGGCCAAGTGTTCCAGCCCAATCCCTTGTTTAGCTGCCTCTGTGTGAATGGGGTGATTGGATGCACACCTCTGTTCATACCAAAGCTGACTAACAGTCGCTGCTCTGAGTCTCCAAGTGAAAAGAACAATGATCACTCACACTGTGATCCAGGACCACGGCAAAGGCAGCTCTCGACAAGCTATAAAACCATGCCAGGTACTCATCAGAACAGCTGTGTTTTTCATGAGACTTTGTTTTCCTTTATGTTCCTTTATATCATAAGTGCAATTTAGTTTAAAGTGAGCCGTCTTCCTCCATCAAGTCCATTCTAGGGGTCTGAAGTGGAAAAGTAAGGGGTTTTGTTTGGCGTTTTTTCTCCTTCCCTTCTGTAATATTCCAGTTTTCAAAAGACTACTAGGTCAGGAAAATTCTAAACTTCACGACCTCTGTTCATACCCAGTCAACCTCTTCTCAGGAAAATTGACTAAGTATTGTTTACCTGAAAAACTTTTGTTTGTATATTTATATAATGTGTATAATCCACTCAATTTTAAACATTTTCAAAGGTAATTTTTCCATATGATATAAACAGGATATTGAAAGCTACTGATTAAATATCATTATTTGTAGAATGCTACATTTGAACATGTAAATAGTGTTTCTAGTTTTTCTCACTTAGAAAAATAAAGCTCAATAAAAACCAATATCTCTCTCTCCATAATTACACATGCACACACACACACTCACTTTAAAGTAGGTCATACTTAAACACACTCAGAGATATGAAATGAGACTATGACTCATCTTGAACACCAGGCAATGTACAGTTAAATATATCCATAAACTTTGTAATGTTGTTTGTGCTAAAGAGAGCCCAGGTATTTTGGGGACAGAAGCTTCAAAAATGTCAGCAAATTATGTACAGATGAGGAAGGACTCACAGATGAGCTAAGATTAAAAAAATTTACTGTGGTTTCAGTGAAAGTTTACTGAACAGATTGCTATTCCATTCATTCATATTTTTATAGCATTGAGGGCAATCCTCACATAATATCACTTTCCCCTTAGCTCTCTATGGTTCCATTTATCCCTGCATCTTCTCCCTTCCACCTTTTATCCTTGGATGAATGCTGCCATTGTGATCCTATTTGGTTGAGTGTTTTAAGGGCTGAGAACCCCCCTGGTGCTACTGTTCGCCTCATAGATCTATTGTTAGGCTGCAAATTGTGCCACATCTGTACACTCAATTCCACATCCAAAGGGTGTTTAAGGGTCATAGTCGCAGGAGTTCTACCAGTCTCTGTAGGACCCAGTCATGACTGTGAGTTTGAGTCTTGTTTTACATTCATCTCCCACTCTCTCCAGGACCTTCTGCTGCGATCTTTCACAGTGCTTGGCAGTGGTAGCTGGGCACCATCTCTTCTCGTCTGAGGAGTCATGGAAGTGAACAGGTTCATAAGCTCTATTGTTGCTATAGACTGATTTTTCCATAACTGATTTTTTTCACTCTTCTTTATTCCAGACAAGGAGAAACCAGTGGTTACAAATTACATGGTCTCACATAAGCTTTGAAGTTCTGTCACTGCTCACCAGTGTAGAGCTTGTGGACTATGTTATGCCACTTCACCTCCATGTCCCCTGAGGCTGCATGATCAGTGATGCATTCCCTCAGGGTCTTTGGTTATAGTGAAGAAGTTTATGTAATTTGCCCCACTGGCTATATCTATCTATCTACCTGGATATATTTGCAGCACAAACTATTATTTGCTAAACAATGCCTGATCATGGGTGCAGACCCCTTCACTTGCCCATTTGGGTAGTCCTGGAAGTCTGTCTATCTATCCACTTGCAGGTTTTTGTTGCTGTTTGTAATGGTGTCTTTCTGTCTTTAGTGACATTATGCTCATTGCTCCTGGAGGCAATGGACATAGCATTTGGGCTGCTAACCAAAAGGCTAGCAGTTTATATCAGCCACTTGCTCTAATGAAGAAGGGTGGGCTGTTCCATGCCTTCCCCAAAGTTCACAGAACTCTGAAGTTATACTTTTAAAACCTGTCTTCTAGTTTTTTACTTTCTAATGAATGTTAAGCAAATTCCTACCCCTGGCTTAACTTTAATTGGGATTACTCACAGTGTTAATAATCTCATTTACCTTTATTTTCCCCCCAGATGTGTGACAGGCTTTTACTATGCTTTTAATATTAAGGTTTTCAAGCTGTTGTCTACTTAAAGGTCCCTTCATGTTTCACTTGTATATGCAATTTCAAGATATTACTATAATAAAACAGAAAGGATTGCCATTTTACTCCAGGATAATGCAAAATTCAAAATGACAAAGCCTTCCCTTCAGGAAGGCCTTCCCCCTCTTGGCCTATTTAGACTATTAGGTGAAGATTTTAAAATAATATATCCAAAATTTTGCTATGTTCAACTCAGACCCAAATCACAACCTTACTTCCAAATCATCCACATGGGGATGCACATTGACTTCAAGAAATTGTAATGAAACAGTAGAACAGTTAAGAAAATATGTATTTACTTAAGATGTGTCATGGACCTGAATCATTCATTGGTAGAATGACAAGCACTTCAAGGTTTTCTATGAAGATAGAATTGCTATGCCCTCTTCATATTCTCATTGTTCACCCCTCTGCCTCTCATTTCTCCTAAGCAGCAGGCAGTGAAGAGGCTCTGTTCATTTATCTGTCCATCCATCCCACCACCCAGCCACAAATGCAACTATTCATCCATCTCTATCTCTTTTTATAAGTGCTCTGGAAAAGCTAGCCTACAGAGGGAGTATGAGCCCACTGTTATAGACCATGTGACAATGAACTGAATGAATGAAATAGAATACACATTTGCAATGACTTAGTGTATAATGATTATCTAGTTTAGTGTAATTTTACCTCTTTAAAGAATTTTCTAAAAGATTAGATTTAAACAATAACTGGTCCTAATTATATGTTTATTTCCCACATATAATTTTCATTATGTTCATGTTTCACATTTGAAATGTAATATTATGATCACAACATCCGTACTAGTATCTTGCAATTCCTAATCCTATTAACATCTATGTCAATGTTTATTGGAAATCATATCAGGAGTGAGGCATGAACTAGGAAAAAGGCAGTTACCAATCAAAACATAAGCTTAGGTTTAGTATTCAAAGCAGCAGAGGGGTAAATCTATTGCTTTTCAAAGTGATATTCCTCCTAAAAAATGTAACAATGAAATTTGGTTGAAAGGTGATTTGGAGTGGTGGGGGGGAAAAAATGATATATAGCATGACAAGTAAGACAAATTTTACTGAGTTATATAAAACTATTCAACTTGATGTTTTAAAAACCCTGTCTACACAAACACATATAAATGCCCCTGTATGTATTTATTTACCCCTGTTTTAGCTTACAGGAATCTCCCACTAATTTGGAAAAGGAATTGTCTTGTGCAGGCAACCAAATGGACACCTTGCTCCAGAACATGTGGGATGGGAATATCTACCAGAGTAACCAATGAAAACAGCCAGTGTGAAATGAGGAAAGAGAAAAGACTGTGCTACATTCAGCCTTGCAACATTAATGTATCAAAAGTAGTTAAGGTAAATACGATTTAGTGTAGAATTCAGTATTGAAAAACTGTTGGAATGTGTGTGCAAGCTTTGGAGGGAGAGTTAGGGTTCATTTTTGGTTCCCATAAAAATACAATGCATTTTAAGTCTTAAAGTCAACTATTTAAGGGGAAATTGGATAGTAATCATTTAATCTATTGTTGCATGTCATTGCACTGACTCCTAATCAGAAGGAAATACTTTAACCAAGGAAAGATAAAAAATTCATCTGTTGGTTCTAGACCGTTTAGCAATGTACATTTAGATATGGCTGGTTTGTTGTGGTTTCTCACCCTGAATTTTATTCCCTGTCACCCCTTTTCAGGTTTAGTTTTCCTATATTAATTTTTTATACTAGAGTCAAAGCAATGAGTAAAACATTTGGTTGCTACATCATAATTAATAGCAGTTGTTGTTGTTATGTGCCATCGAGTCGCTTGCAACTCATAGCGACCCTATGTACAACAGCCCTAAACTCTGCTCTGTCCTGTGCCAATTGCACTGTCTCCGACACACCCATCCCAATTACCCCAGTTCTTGAATCAATCCACCTCATAGAGGGCCTTCCCCTCCTGTGCTGTCTCCACCCTCCCAAGCATGATGTCCCTCTCCAAGGACCGGTCTCTCCTTACAACATGTACATTATGAATATCAGAGTAATATTTCCAATCTTAGTTATATATTACTAACTTGGAGTAGGACTACACCATTTAGAAAAATCTCCTTGAGACAGTAACTTTGCAAAAGGGCTATGATAAAATATGCCAAGATTGATAGGTAACACTCCAGTTGTTCCTATATCTAGAAGTAGATAATATGACTGTCCAAATAGTTTTAGAAATGCTATAAAACTCTTCTTATTCTCAAGCTCCTTTCTTATATTAACAAGTTGACAATTCAATTTTAAAAGGATTAATATATCCTTTGCCTAGGGTGGAAGTCTGCTCAAAGGCGACAGCTTTAAAATCCTGCTGGGGGAGGGGAGGGGGATGCTGGCAGGGGCCTGGAGACTCCACTCTGGGAGTTTGTGGCTTTTTGCTGCTTGTGGATGGCGTTCCTGATGGGCAAGTAAAGTTTTTAGGGTTGTGTGTTTTTGGGGGGTTGTGTTTGATGTGTTGAGCCTTTGCCTAGGGTGGAAGTTTGCTCAAAGGCGTTAGCTTTAAAACCCTGCCAGGCCTTTGGGCCTGTGGCCCTCCAGCCAAATTTATTCATTTTCAAAGGATTATTTCTTGAATGACACAGCAATCTTTTGTCTATTTGCTGAACTGAACTTGGTGTTGCTGTGATGCTGCTCACTGTTCCATAGACATGTCAAATTCCATAATGGTTACCCATTATGTACAGTGTTTGGATGAGCCTCCAGATTGATTTATGCTGGGAAGCAGAAGTGGCATCCACTTCCTAAACTAGATGCCTCTGGATACTCTAAACTTCCAGAAATGATGGTAGTTCATAACTTACTCTTAGTCATATTTGACTTGATGACACTTAACCACTGCTAAGTGAAACTAGTGCTGTCATATCTGGAGGAACACTCTTTCACTTGTATATCACTCTTTGTCAATGTGGAGTATGAAGTAACCTTGGTTGCTAGGATGCTGATCCCTGTACCATTGGGGTATCAAATAGCAGAATGGCTTCCCAATGTGGACAATGTTTGGTGGAGCTTCCAGCTGTAAAACAGGTTTGGAAGCAGGAGTGGCATCCACTTCCTAAACCAGATGCCCCTGGGAAACTATGAACTTGGAGAAATGACAATAGTTATAAAAGGCATTAAGTCTTTTGTTCATAGAGTCACTACAAGTCACGCTTGACTCGATGGCAATCAACAACACAAATATATCTATTTACCCAAAACTGTCTTGAAATGCATTAAGGAATTTATTAAGTCTTAGGAATAGAAACATGTAACAGGATATGCTCCTGATATTAAACAAATTAAGTAAGTTTGTGCTGATTGTGGGACTGAGTAAAAGGATAGTCAAAACCATTGGAGAGTGAGTTCTATAATACAGTGAAGCAAGAACAGGGAGGACAAACTGTTGTGTGGACAGAATTTTAAAGGTAGAAGAGAGTGCTGGAAGCCTCTAAAGTGGAATTATTATTAATATACTTGACATAAGTATCTGTGTGTGATAGAACATTCTAAAAAGAATATTCTATAGTATCATTTTTGTACTCCTATAATGAAATTTAAAGAATGACATTAGTTTTTAAATTTTTGTAGATCCCTAAAGGAAGAACATGCCAACCTACTTTCCAACTCTCCAAAGCTGAGAAATTTTTCTTTTCTGGATGCTCAAGTACTCAGAATTACAAACCAACTTTCTGTGGAATATGCCTGGATAAGAGATGCTGCATCCCTAATAAGTCTAAAATGATTACTATTCAATTTGATTGTCCAAAGGAAGGATCATTTAAATGGAAGATGCTGTGGATAACATCTTGTGTATGTCAGAGAAATTGCAGAGACCCAGGAGATATGTTTTCTGAGCTCAAGATTTTATAAACATATTCACATGGCAGAAAAGTTAGTACTGGTAAACTCAACAAGGAAGTCAGTGGTTGTATGAGAGTGGCAAATCAACTTTGATTTAAAAATAGCAAATACCCGAAATATAAGGATATCTAACTATTCTCAGATCACTGCATTTAAAGAATTGAAGGTTCTTTAAAAGATTATCTCAAAATAATTTGAAAAATGTAAAATTTAATCTTCTAATTATGTAATAACTAAGATATTACGTGGTTCTAATCACAAATTCCATATATTTGGAACAATAATTTGAGATAGCATTTTATTCTATTAAAAATCACAGATTATACTTTTTTTCTGCATGGAAGATGTATAAAAAGTTTATTAAAATATTTACACTGTAATATTACTTTCCAACTACTGATCCTTCTTCTCTGTTCCCAACTTTTCCATTCCAGTCACTCATTTTTATTAATGCATCTTGATTGCTGCATGTTTAATCAATCTCTGACTGCAAACGTTGGTAGAAATCTTCTATTTCCTTCTCTTTGGGTCTTGTTGCATATTTGAATGATGGTGGTATTCATTGGACTTCCTTGTATGTGTATGGATATTATCCTGTCCCTCAAAGCACTGTATTTCAAGATGGATCTAGAAATGACTTTTTTAACTATGAAAGCAACCTCATCATATGATTGGCTGACTCAAAATGTCCCATGCCAGTCCATCTCATCTCGCCAAAACCTAGTATGTCAATATTTATGAGTTCCATTTCTTTCTTAACAATATCCAATTTTCCCACATTCATGGTTCTCACATTCCATGTTCCAGTCACTAGAGTCTGCTTACAACTGTTCCTCCTCCTTTGTGTTTCCGTATTTGAGGACTCAGCCTCTAGTCTAAGTGTGCTCTATTATTGTACAAAAAGTTTTCGAATGCCTGCTATTTTGGAAGTGGATGGCTAATCTTTCCTAGTATGTCTTAATTTGAATGCTCAAATTTAGAACAGTATCTGACAGACAAACAAACTATGGATTGAAGCTCAACATCAAAAAAACAAAGATTCTCACCACTGAGCCGATTGGTAGTATCATGATAGAGGGTGAAGAGACTGAGATTGTTGACAGCTTCAGTTTCCTTGGCTCTACAATCGACAATCTTGGCACCAGCAGCCAGAAAAATGAAAAGCTTAATTGCATTGGGGAAAGTCTGCTGTCAGAGACATCTCCAAAGTACTGAAGAGCTATGATGTCAGTCTGGAGACTAAGGTGTACCTGATCCAGGCCAGAGTCTTTGCAACTACTTGCTGTGCATCAGAAAGCTGAACAGTGACTAGGAATGATAGAAGGAGAATTGATGCCTTTGAGCTGTGATATTGGAGAAGAGTATTAAATTTACCATGGACTGCTAGGAAAACAAGCAGGTTCGTATTAGAGGGGGTGAGACCAGGCTGTTCCTTGGAGGCAAGGATTCTGAAGCTTTATCTGATATATTTTGGACATGTTTCAAGGAGGGACCAGTCCTTGAAGAGGGATGTTAGGCTTGGGAGGGTTGGACGGACACTGCAAAAGAGGAAGATCGTCGGTGAGATGGATTGATTCAGTGACTGGGGCAGAGACAGTAAGATTGGCACAGAACGGAGCAGGGTTTAGGACTGTTTTACATAGGGTCACTATGAGTTTCATGCGACTCAGTGGCAAATAAAAACAAACAACAACAACAACAGTATTACTCTGACATTGTAGTATGGGATCCTATCAGATAATAATAATAAGGTGAGCAAGATTCTGGTTTAATTCTTGAAGAAAAGTAATGTGAAAGTATAAATAAAACTGTCTTACCTACTTAAGTAGATAATCATTAATGGTTTATTAACATTTATTTCAGGAATGGTAAAAGGAAAGTTGTCTGGCTACTTTAATTGTAATCTAAAAGTTTTTATGCTAAACAGTGTAAAAAACAATGTCAAATTAAACTGTTAATTTCCATATTAAAACCCAAGAACCATATCAATGAAAAGAACTTTAAAAACTTAACAGTAAAGAAAGAAAACAGCAGGTTATTTGTTTGAAAAGAAATTGTTTCTAAAAATTGCTTCATTAAATGATAATTAATTTAAAATTAGTATGATTTAAAATATATAGTGTTAAAAGTAAAACTGTAAGTTAAAGTAACTTGAACAATTTCCCTAGTCTCTAACAGCCTCTTATTGCCAAGAATGAAACATATCAAGCTCAGTAATGTGTTTTTCACTATAATATAAAGGGTCACATGTAAAATAAAAACAAAAAGCAATGTAAAAAACTCATGGACATTTATTATTATAAAATAAAGTGGTTTTATTTTTAAAAAAGCAACTATATTTAAAAATAAAAATGTGTTAAAATAAGGACACAAATTTTAATTCTTTTCTGTATAAACAAGTTGTATAAAATGAATATGAAAAAAATAAACAAAACTTCATTCATGGTTACAGCAAAACCAACCCTCGAAAAGTTAGGTATATGTTATATAGAAATCAGGTAAATTTAAATATATAATAAAAATACAAATAAATATAAAAATATACTTGTAGAAAATTTTTAATAAGGACATGATTATCATAATATGCTTAAATAGACTGCAAAAAAATAAATGCTGAAGATCTCTCAATTTTAGTAAAGGGTATTTTTCTGAAGACAAATGTTCAAAGTTATGGTGCCAGTACTCCACTAATTTTATCTGTGGTATCATCAAATTGTGGTTAGATGGAAACCATTCTTTTAGGCAAAACCACCACAACAAAACAAAATCTTCCTGATAACCTAACAGTATGAGAAATACAACTGGGTTTTCTGAATCACACACACACACAAAAAACTGAAACAGAAAGGCAACATGGTAAAAAATGTGAAATTAAGGGGGGAAAAAAGAGTTGCATTTTCGATTCTTCACATAACTATGCTTAGTCGAGGTAAATCTTGTACAGGCATGCTTTTTGTGGCATCCAGCTGGTTATACTCTTGTATGAGGGCTGATAAAGATGACACAGCTTCAGTAAAGCAGCTTTCCTCCATTCCTTCAACTTGTAGATAGTGATGAAGGTGAGCCTATAAATGAAAAAACAAACAAACAAACAAAACTGGATAAAGTTTAGCATTTCATGAAATTTCATACACACAGCAGTTCAGTAAGATGAAGACATTTTTTATGGCCAAAGTTAACAAAGTTGTAAAGGTATACTGTTAATTACCTTTTTCTTGTAGAGCTTCATGAATCTCTCTCTCAGTTCCATAAAGGTAGGTTTCACACATGTGTTATTTGCTAAAGCTAATAATGAATGAGAATGGCCCACAGGAGGTACTGAACATAGGCTGGTCTTCCAGCCTTCTTGATTCCAGGAGACAAAATGCAGAGAAGGTTTTAATCTAAGATAGAAAAATTGAAAGGTAAAAATTAAGGTACAGAAATGTCTTCCTTAAATAGCACACCCCATTGTTAGTTATACAAACACATTATTGTTGGTATCATCCTAATTGTTTAGTTTATAATGTCAGCTACCTACTTCCTATCATTGGTAGTGTATTTCTGGTGGCCTAGTGGTAAGAAACTGCACTCCACTCCCAAAGTCCCGTGGTTCAAATCCACCAGCTGCGTTTGGGGGAGAAGGAGGGGCAGTCTTCTCCTGTGCGATTAACTGTTTCTGAAAACATGCTGGAAGGTCAGCTATGTGTTGGTTCTGACTCAACACATAGCTCAATAACAACAGTAAACCAGTGAATATTTATAGTAGGAAGATAGTAAATTGGCTGTGATGGCGATTCGAAGTTAGAAACATATTCCTTAATATTAGAAATCTGAACATAAAAAAGAAATGAGTCTATTATCATTTTCCTTACTTGGCAATCCAATAGACATATGTATGAAGACATAAATTTAGTAGTAGTATTAGTAATATTGCCAGTGGCAGTAAGAATAGCATCAATGGTTAAGAAGAAAGTAACAAAATACAACTTTAAACAAGTTAAAAAAATTAAGACTTCTTATCCACTTCCTAAACAACAGGCCTCTGGAAACTATGAACTTTGATAAATGAGTTATACAAAGGCATCAGGCCTTTTCGTCATGGGGTTGCTATGAGTCGTGCTCGACTTGACAGCAATCAACAACAATATGCATTATTTAATGCTCATAAACAGCTCTGTACTATTATTGTCTTTGAGGATTTTAGATTTGAGCAAATTAAGCCATAAAGAGGCTAAGTAGCTTACTGAAGGTTACATGTTAGTGGCATTGCAAGAATTTGATGAGAAGCAGTGCACAGAATGAAGTATCTTGGAAAACATAAAAATCCTACCTTTCAATATTTCTGCGAAGATCTGAAATCTGTACATTTCCTCTAACCATTAAGGCACAAGCAAGGTAAAGACTATGTTTGGGGTCAGCCTGAATTAGCTGGTGATCTTTACTAAAAGCATCTGAAAACATCTGATCCAACCTAGAGCAATGAAAGAGGCTAATTTAGACAAAATAACACTTTTTTTCCCCTATATGTAGCCATGAAATAGAAAGGAAGTCACTTATTAATAAATGCCCTATCTCAGGTATCATTTTCTCAAAGTAATCTTGGTAACAAACTTAAGAGAGCAAATCAAACAATATTGATCTTTTTATTCAGGGCATGTGTAGGAGGAAATACTTCTGTAACATGAAGTAATTTTTGGTGTCTACCAAATTTTAACTGTAGCATTATGAGCTTTATGTAGTACCGATTTCAGAAACTTATATCATCTAGTTTACAGTATCAGAATCATCAAAACTCATTAAAAGCCTGTACCATTAAAATTCTTTGTTGCTGTACAGTATTATTACATAATAAATTTATTATTGTTAGGTGCTTCTGAGTTAATTCTCATAGTGACCCTATGTATAACATCACACCTATATGGTCCTGTGTTGTCTTTACAAGTTGCTGCTTGAGCCGGTTGCAGCTACGGTATTTAATCCATTTTGTTGAGGGTCTTCCTATTTTTCACTGACCTTCTATTTATTTACATGCATGATGTCTTTCTTCCTGATGACATGTCCAACGTCAGTCAGACTCACTGTCCTCACAAGGTTCACTCTAGTTGGACTTTTTGTAAAACAGATTTCTCAACATTCTTACTCCAAGGTTATCAATTTTTCTTCAGTTGGCCTTATTCACTGTCTAACATCTATGTTCATGTGAAAATACCATGGCTTCGGTTAGACAAATCTTGATCCTCAAAGTGACATTTCTGCTCTTCAACACTTTCAAGACATTACAGATTTTGCCACAGATTTGCCCAATGCAATATGCTGTCTGCTTTGACTATGGCTTCCATGGGTGTTGATTCTGAATCTACATAAAATTCAGTTCTATACAACTTCAAACTTTTCTCCATTTATCATGTGATACAGTGGATCAGTTGTGAGGATATTTGTTTATACTGAGGTATATTCTATACTAAAAGTTGTATACCTATATTACTGTTGTTATGTGGTAGCATTATGAGCTTTATTAAGTACAATTTATAGCACACTATGCATAACAGATCTAACCCCTGTTCTCTCCTGTGCCATCCTCAACACGTCTGACATACTTGAGCCCACTGCCATGGTCACTGTGTCAATCTGTCTTGCTTAGGTTCTTCCCCTCTTTTGCTGACCCTTCATCTTTCCAAACACAGTGTTCCTTTCCAAAGAACAGCCTCTACTAGGAACATGTCCAAAGTATGTGAGACAAAGCTTCACGATCCTTCTTTCCAGGGAGCATCTGTTCACTGATTTGGCCATTCATGGTATATTTAAAATTCTTCTCCAACACCACAATCCAAAAGCACCAATTCTTCTTTTGTCAACCTTATCCACTGTCCAGCCCCAAGAGTCATAGCAAGTGACTGAAAAGACCATGGTCTGAATCAGGCACACCTTAGTCTTCAAATAGACCTCACGTCTCTCCAGTGCTTTGAGAGGTCCCTCAGAGTGAACTTGTCCAATGCAGTACATCTCCTGATTTCCTCACTGCTGGTACAAAGGGTGCTGACTGTGGATCCAAGTAAGATGAAATCATTGGCAATTTCAATCTTTTTTTCCATCTATCATAATGTTGCTTTTCCCAGTGTTGAGGACTACTGTCTTCTTGATGTTGAGATGTATACAATATTGAATGTCTTTGATCTTTAGCAAACACTTTAAGTCCTCCTCACTTTCAGCAAGCAAGGCTGTGCCATCTGCACAACTTGGGCTGTTGATGAGTCTTCCTGTGATCCTGATGCCACATTCTTCTTCATAAGAGTCTAGACCCTCAATTTGTTCAGTGTACAGACTGACTAGGTATAGAGAAGTTAATATTAGTTGGAAACCATCAAATAAATGAAGTTGTTAGGTTCTCTGATAACAGATCAAACTCTTTAATTATCCGAAAGGGAAGACTTCTTAGGATTCTCTATTATCCTTCAGGGAAAAACTGGAAGATGAATGTAAATGAAAAACAATTCTTATCTAAGAATACAAAACCTCCTAGATCCTTAAGATGGCCACATTTTGGGCTTAAATCCCATTTTATTAAGTATGAAAAATTGATTTAATTCAACATGAATAAGCCCTGGTGGTGTAGTTCATAACATGGCAAGATACTAACTGAAAGGCTGGCAGTTTGAATCCACTAGGCAGTCTTCATCTCGAGGTTTGCTATCAGTCAGAACTGCCTGCGTAGTCATAATGGGTTTGGATATATATATGTATGTATGTATGTATGTATGTTCGGTTCATAATCCTAGGAAGAGCTCTTGTGAGCAGAAAGAAGTGTGGAGTCTATACTGCTTAATCATACTATAGTGATTTACTTACTATGACCATGTGCCAGGTAATATTCTTAATGTAAAAGCCTGACAAGAAGAATAAAACTCTCTGTCCTAATGGAGCTTCTGTTAGATCCTGATTATTTTAAAACAGAGAGACCTGTATTTTTTTAGGAGAAAAGTGAGTTTTGGGGCGTTTTTATGGAGTCAAGGTATAGATGTTTCTTCTGAGGAGAACACCTACAAAAGGCTAACTATACACTTTTAAAAACAGGCAAACAAACTCCTGATATTTCCCCCTAATTCTACAAATAATAAACTCCAGTAGGGAATTGTTCATAATTATCAGAATCGTTATTTACATTGAAAAACGTGGCTTAGGGAACTCTGGTGGTTCAGTGGTAAGAAGTTGTACTGCCAAATCAAATCTGCCATCTACTTTTTGGGAGACAAATGGGCAACCTTCTCGTATGCAACTTAAAGCCACTGAAAACTCGCTGGAGGGTTAGCTATGAGTTGGGTTTGATTTTACACTCATGACTTACTGTTTTTATAGACGAGACATAACTAAGTTTATGATGACCACATGTGTGCAGATTAGAACTGCTTTCCTTTGTTGTTTCATGTAGAAGCAGAGTATTAGATATTGACCTTCAAGATAGGTGTCTCTGGAGAGGTCTGAACCACCAACCCTTTGTTAAGTACTTTAGTACATAATTTGTGCCACACAGAGACTCCATGATGTCATCATGAGTCAGAATCAACTCTATGGAAACTAACAACAGTAATGATCCATGATCTCAAAGGCCAATACCATGAACAAATGTGAAGACTGAAGTTAAGCGTGGCTCTAAAACCTATGGTAAGCTCAGTAGTAAGTTGTGGTGAATTCCTTACCTTAACTAATAAGACATAATCATCAATATCATAAGATTCTATTTATTTTAAACCAGGAATTAAAGTTTTCTAGAATGATCAGGTCAGCAGCACCTCATGTAGAAAAATAGTTCTACCTATTAGTTTGCATAAATGGTCATTTGCTACTGATTCAGTAGTTTATTGGTTTCATTTGTGAGTGCTCTTAGCTAGAAATGCTATCTTGCCAATATTTTAACAATAAATGGGAATCTTTCACTTATATTCACTTATTTATTTACATATTCAGCCCTAAAAATGGTTTGACAGATTTTTTTCCCTCAGTCAATAATAAATGCAATGCATCAATTTTTCAAGTTCAACAACACTGTAAATCTTAAAAGTTTCTTTGAAAATTACACCATTTCAAGTAAATTTATACATGTTTTATACTTCAAAAGTGTACATATAGAAAGCACACTGCTTTGTGAAGAAGAGCAACTGCCATGCGGAGGAATATCTGAAAGTCACCTATAGTGCTGAGACTGTGGTAACTGTTTGAAAACATTTTGAATTTGTACTACACACACAGGGCAGGTACACTGTATCTCATTTTTAGATGAGAAAATCAAGGTAAAGAGTTAAGTCACCTGCTGAAGGCCCTGTAGCTAGTGATCAACAAAACTGACTCAGACAAAGTCTGACTTCAAAAATCATCTTTACTTTATACCTTACAAATAAAATGTATAAAAATTAGAGAAATAATGAATGATTATAAACTTTTTTCTCTTAAATTTGTATAAAAGTATTACATGCTTTCAAAAAATTGGAATCAAATTACTGCTTTTACCTTCGCGGGGGAATGTTAACATCTGCCAAGGTATACAGAGGTGTCAGGCTTGACACAAGATAATGAAGCTGGGGGAAAGGGACTAAATTCATGCTGATTTCGTTAAGGTCCATATTGAGAGATCCTTCAAACCTGGCAGAACTGGGGGAAAAAGTAACATTAGAATAATTAAAAATATTTTAATTTTCAAATAGTATTCTCTGAACCTAGCTTGAGTTACCAGGCATTTCCTCAAATCCTAATGCACACTGCTCTTTTATATATGCTCTATTTTTTTTTTTTAAGTAGAGTTATCAGTGAAACAAATATATATGAAGGTATTTAAAACACAACAACTATGTTGTTTCGGTATGAAATCCAATCAATTCTGATGCACCATGACACCGTGACAGGTCAGAGTACAACTGGCCACAGGGTTCCCTAGGAAGCAGTTTTTAGAGGAGTAGACAACTAGGTCTTGTCTCCCTTGAGTTGCTGGTAGGTTCCAACAATCAACCTTTTATGAAGAAACTAAGTGTTAGATCATTTCATAACTGGGACGCCTTATGATAGTTATCGCAATATTTATAGTTGCTAGGGTATAGTTGGTTCTACCTAGGTTGCCCTTTTTGTTAATCTGCGTGTGTTCTGTTGTGCATAGGGTTTTCAGAGGCCTGCTATTTCGAAGTGGGTGGCCAATCCTTCTTCCTAGTCTGTCTTAATCTGAATGTTCAGATTTAGAGGAGTATCTGACAGACAGCAATTTGTGGAGCAGT